TTCATTGCACCTGGATTATAGTCATTACCCTAATAAACAGTGAAACTTGTCAAAATCGGCACCTACTGAGTGAACAGCTATGCAGACTTTGAATACACCTTTTGTTATTCAAGTATGTGCTGAACCTATCCACATAGAAATCATTCATTGTTAAAGTTTATAATCGTAGGAAGTATAAAGCTTCATAAATATGTTTAATGGAAGGAAAATACTGGTAAGAAGTTTGTGGTTTCATTAGTATTTATTTGATGTAGACTTTACATTTTTAAATAATTATACATTTCTTGATTTAGAGGTAGCCACAAAGAAAGAACAGCCGCCATGACTACATATTTATATATATTTTATTAAATATTTTTATGTGGACCCTTGTGCTGGGTTCCGTGATATGCCTTGAAAAGCTTTTGATATAACTTCCATTTATGTTCCACTTTTAAAAATACCACGTGGCTTCAGTTCATCAATGACTGTATAGTGGACTCTCCTTTAACCATCATTATTTTTATCCCAACTGTCTTATATCTGGTAAACCCTGAATTCCCAAAATGATGAAATAGTTCTTCATAAATATATTTAGTCTTGTTTCTGATGGCCTCCAGTATGTCATTTTGCTTTTTAGTTTGTTTAATATTGTATGTATGCTCTTGTTTTTTAAAAATGAGTTTTTTTATAATTCATAAATCATTGTTCTGATTAGTAAATGCCATTGATGACTTTTCAATATTTGCTGCAATTTATTATTTTTTTTTGTTTTTTTACTGTTTGTCCAATGGAAGAACATAACTCCAGACTGACCAGCACTTTGATAACCACCCTAGCAGTCCCATTTCTGCCACTTAAGTGGGAGTCCATTTTACTTTCATATACTTGCAATAAAACATTTTATACATTCATTCTGCAAATGTATTGTCAAGGAGAGTGATAATGTGATGGATCGGCTAGGTTTTGATTATTATATATAAATGAGAAGTTGGGTTGCAAACTGTTATGGAAACGATTTTTATTCGTTCAGAAAATTGTTACTATTAACATTTCTGGAACTACAATATAGTTCTCCCATAGATACTAGTTTTAGTTGTGCAAGGCACTGAGTTTCTGTTTATATAGAATAAGTTTTGAATCTTTCTTGTCTAATGGTACAGTACAGTTAAAAACAGAATTGACAGTGAAAGAAATGTTATTATATAAAACAATGATAAATTATTTCTTCTGTAGGGAATGTTATGGATTCCACACTTGACTATTTGTTTTGTAGGGAGCACAACATCTATATCAATAGCAGAGATTAAACTTTGTAGAGTTTGTGGCATAAATGACCATACTTCAAGTAGGCTTAGTTTGATGAGACCTAGGAACATAATTAGGATGGTTGGTCTCACCTAAGATTTGAACCTACTAACTTCTAAGTATAGACTAGAAACTTCATAATTTTACAGTCAACTCATACAGGTATTGGTATGACCAACACATGCCTTGATTGACACTAAAATTGTTTCAGGCATTGGCCTGTGGGTATAAAATGAGATGAGATGCAGTTTCCTGCATATGAGGTTATAATTACTGATCATACTTTTCTCATTCCACACTTTGTAATCCAATATACCATCATTAAGTAAACCAATAAACAAATAGTAACCTCATTATAAAGATTCTTCAATTCTGTATTTCTAAATAAATGAGAAAGTGGAAATATGAGTAACTACAAGTATGTTTAAACAATCAGTATGTATTTCAAATGTTGAACAATATTATACTACAAACATTGTGATGTATTTGCCATCAGTCCGTGATGTATTTTCTCTTGAAGTCCTAATGAGATCTTGCATTGCTAAAACTATTTGTGATTTTCTCAGTGCTAATTGAATGCCAGGTAGAATATGAATTACCTGTAAATAATACCTGATAATATTTTTATACTCCAACATGTAATTTGCAATTTCTTCTGTTCATTCAAAGCTACTGATGCTTTGCCATTTTCACAGGTTGTGTAATATTGATCAAAGTTAACTAAGCTTTAAATGTTTGGCACATATGAAAGCCAGTGCTGTGTTGTAAATTCAGAAGGTACCCACTGTTTATATGTCTTGTTTTGTTGTATGGTGTACAATACCATGACCACAGTTTCTCTGCCATACACTTATAAGATATCAGCAACAAGCTCATGTGTATAAAGAGTCGTAACAGAGTGCTGTGTCCCGCGCCCGTAGCCGCTTGGTCTGAGGCATCATGCTTTGGACCGGTGATACAGAATGTGCGCTGGTTCAAGTCTTGGGGAAAGAAATTTCTCATGAGATTTTCGACCGGTGCCAACCCAGCATCGTGAGGAAATTGGGGAGCTACAATGGGTAGCGTAATCCGGTCATGAAAACTAGCAATGGCTGGGGGTTCGTCGTGCTGACCACACGTCACCCTATATCTGGTTGGATGATCATTCACTTCTGCTTAGGCATGTGAACGTGAGGCCAGCAGCCAGCTAGTCGGCTTTGGCTCTCAGAGGGCTGTTACGCCACGGATTATTTAACGGCGCTGTGGTTGTTGGAACAGGTTAACTTCTTAGCGACATAAATCACAGACTTTATAGTTCACATTCAAAATATAAACATTTACATTGCATGTGGCAAATGTTAATTTTGCCACTTTTCATAATTTCACATTTGTCACCCCAAGTAATTTGTCATATTTTTAAATATATAATTTTATAATTATGAAGTATACCAGTTCCTGTTCTATAAAGGCATTTTCTCTAAAATTATTTTCTTGGAATGGAATAAACTTTAGATTTTGTACAGTAAATTTCCACAGATGAAAATTCTTAACAGGTCAGATGTTCATGTGTAAAGCCAGAAAATCTCAATGGACTTTTCAGTGAAAGTGTAAGGCAACTAAGACTTTTTAATATCTCAAAAATTTGAAGATCTTACATTGAATTAAAAAAAAATTATATTGTCCCATGGAACAGAACACTAACACACACACAGTACATGATATTGTTTAAAGCTGGCCAATTGAGATTTCATAGTCAGATGTTTTGACCTCTGTTGAAAATTAAGAATAAGAATTTGACAGAAAATAGTCTTTTCGTTGTTTGTTTTATTTCATTTTCTTTTTATATATTGTGCTTCGTACAATTGTTTGAGAAGGAGCATTCATTTCTCAAAATGGTAAAGAATTATATGTATTGTAAGTGGTTATTAACTTTGCTCTAAAACTTGTTAACTGCCTACAAGACTATGCTATGTCACAACTCAGAAGACCACAATTGTTCTGGCATGAAGGATATCAACACTGCTACTTGTAACAATCATGACATTTTTTTCTTTAAATTCAGCATTATAAGATATCTGGAATGGTCCAAATTGAGTTTTTCTTATCAAACATTCAAAGAACTGTATCTTTTTGTTATTCAAAATACAGATTTTATTTATGTATGTATTTTTGTGATACTACATTTAACTGCAGATACCAAAGAAAAGAAAACTTTTAATGTGTTCTCATTTATGATGGTGTTAAACAGATCATAATCAAATATGTGACCTTTGTGTGTGGTGATCTAAACTTTATATTGGTATGTTACATGCTTTCATTTCAGTAATGATATAATCAGAGGCAAAACCTTTCCACTTTGTGTGAATATTTGATTGCCACCTTTTCTAGTCAGTCAGCTGTGGCAGTAGTGAAATTACAGGTAGCCCTCAATGTACGCCAGGGATGCGTTGAAATTTTTTTATAATGTTAATCAATGGGAAGTCAATGACATGCGTTCCCAACACCCAAACATTGACGAGTAATATAATGGCATTACATTTAAATCTCTGAAATAACGTACATAAAATAAAGGGAATTTAAAAAATATATTTTATACTCTTACAATCGGCAATTCGTTGGTCCCCGTGATTTACTGCGATTCTTTCATGTGATTGGTGCGTAGTCATCTCTGCTGCTATGCGATAGTTGCATTCATGTCAGACGCTGACCTATAGAAAATTGCGTAGTAAAAATAACCCCGGTATCTCCGCAGAGATTAAATTAGTCCTTTGAAAGTTTAAAGCGCCTGGAATGAAATTGCATAAGAGCAAATTCGCATATGCAAAAGTTTGCATTTCACAAACAGATTTTACCGATTCATCGATCTCATTGGAGCAAATTCGCGTTAACGAAACATACGTAATTGCAGAGGTGACTGTATTTACAATTTTTATTCAAAATCAGCGATCTAAGAATTACGATTTAGTGTAAGAATCAGTACGAGAAACACTGTAAAACGTTATAAATAATAGTAAAATACATTTTTTTACTTTTTGACTTGCTGGTTTCAAAATCGGCATAAATCGAGGGCTACCTGTACAGCAGTATCATAGAGTAAAGTTTACTTAACTGCATTACAGGAGATGCTGCAGATGTTTTAAATTGGCTTGGATA